AAGCATCTTTCGTGGCCTTTGCCGACTGGCTAATATTCACCATTGTCTGACGTTGGAAACCAGTGTTCGAAATAGCGTGTTCGCGTCCGTCAAGGTGAGCTCAAGACCGCTGTGAGTTGAGGCGAGCACTTCCCGTACGAGAATCGTTCTTATCTGTCCTAGCATAGTCATTAGGTGTGGAGCGGAACATGGCGCTATATATAAAAGATTCTGTAGATCCTGTGGATACAATGAGAAACACGTAGGTTTTGATCCTCAAATGACTTGAAAAATAATATTCTTGAACGCAATATTCGAGCCTTTAATTCACTTACAGGAGTAGGGTTGGTCGAAACTGTGCCGTTAATTCTCAGGGCTATGTGACACCGCTTATTTGCACGTTCCGCGATTTACATTGTGTATCCACTCCTCATGTTTATACTCACATATCGGGTCTGAGGCATGGACCCTACTCATCATTTTCCAGTGGAGCATTTTGTCAGTTCGAGAAATTTTCAGTTGACAAGTGAGTATTACATCCAAAATAACACCTGCGCCACAAATTGGACTTTCGATGTTGGGCGCACTTCAAGTGCGAACACCTAACCTCTTCAGCTGGCACACCTAAACTAAAGCGCCGTCTCATGAACATGGGTGTGAACTTCCGGAATATAACGGCTATCATGATGATGCGATCAGCTGAATGGGACTCAGTCAGGGACAGGAACCACCCGTTCTAAACAAATTGTCCAAAATGTATAAATTACAAGAGATCTGCATTTTACTGTCAAAATCGGCAGATTGTAGAATTCGCAAATCCCCGAAGCGTGATAATGAAAACAAGACCGTGAGTACCGAGGTAGATAAAAGATGATTTAACAGTGACCCATATACCAAGATATCCGAGGCGCCCGGCAAAGAACTTTCAAAGCAGACAAAAATTAATTTTATGTGCCCTTCAGCAAATCTGGCGATGGATTTTCATGGGCGCTTTCGGATGAAAACGGATGATTCGATAGTTCAGCAATAACTCGACACTTTTCCTCAGGACTTAGTACAGTGCTTGCAGGGGAGTTCAACTACGCGGTTCATGCTTTATAAAGCATCGGAAAAAACCAAGATTAGGAGACTTTCAGAAGAACAAAAGTGACTTACACAAGGGAGCGTACTCGGAAAGCAGGTTGCCCAAGTTGACAACTGGAAAAGTATGAAGTAAGTAAGCATATCAAGTACAGCTATTTTCCTGCGTTAATGTCGTTCTTCACTGAAATCGTAAACTGTTAGCGGCTTCGCGTGAATTCACCAAACGATCAAACTGATACTTCGGTTAATTTCACGTTGTCACTTTTCAACGCAAATGTAACTGGATGGTGAGTCTTAGGTAGATGGATATTCGGCGTTTAAAATCCCTAAACCAACGGCCACCAATACAGCTATGCTCAGGTACATCTGCTTGATCACCTGTCGCTGAACTTTTGCGCCATCTAGACACGAGCATGTATGTTGCCTCTGAAATGCTAGAAAGCTCAGAATTCCAGCTGCACTCAGATAGGACCAAATGAAGCGACATATTAAATCAATCGTCATGCGGGGTTCGAAAGACGTTTTCGGATAAAACATGGATTGAACTCGTGCTCGCAGCTAGGTCCAGGTTGACTGAATTATAAACAGCACGAAGCTAAGCTAAGTTTTTAATGTCACTTACAAAAATGTAATCGGGTATGGCTAAGCACTCAGATAGTTTCTTGATCGTAGGACGATACTTTTGATAAGTACTGAGGGTATCTGAGTTGGGTCTGATCCCTGCACGCTGGCAAGCTTGTCACTCCAAATGGCTCAGGAATGTTGAAATCTAGTCAAATTCTACCGCTGAGAAGTTTCGTTGTTGTCACAGTTGGCCCCTACCAGCTAGCAAGAGGAAGCAATCACGAAGTAAAGTGAATACAAAACACCGCTGCGTATACCCGAATAAACTTTATATGCACAGACACTATACAACTGAGCGCATTCCGCTCCACACAGCTTGCTGACGCATTTTGGGAAGCGTACAATTTGAGATATCAAGAGTAAACTCACGATGATTTTCGGCCGTCACATAGCTAGCTATATACAAGAGCGTCAAAGACAATCCGTTGATACTCATCGAAAGGGATTTCGACGTGTGTCTGACTAACTCGACCAGCTCTTGCTGCGTGTTTTATAAGTTTTCTTATGTTGTGGGTGAAGGCCTGTTAGCTGAGTTTATCGAACAAGTTCTTTCAATACCACGGTGTCTGGATGAATAAAGCCAAACAGGCCTCATTAACCAATTGGCTTAGAGTAACCACTCTCTGTGTGATTTGATTTTCAAGGTTGAAAGCAAATCAACCGGTAGGACAGATGCGTTGGAGAGAGCTACTCATGCTCCGGATGATGCCGCATGATTTTGTCTTCAGAATGCCAATATCTAGCATTTTGTGTAGGCTGTAGATGATCACTACTTTCGGGGAAATTCTCGTCAGACTCACAGTATGAGGGGAACAAGAATCCACGGCTGTATGTCTGTCGACACAGTCAACACGTGTAACAGTCAGGTGGTGGACAATCTGGGAATGTCTGACATTCTGGTGCACCCAGAGAACAATAGGTGACCAGAGGACGCAGGTGCTTCTGAACTTGTTTTGCAACTTCCTCTATTCACCTTTGGAGAATATTAACATCTTATAACGATTTTAAGGTGTTTCAGCAGACCAAACGCCGTACGAGAATGCTTGAAGTCCTTATTGGTCCCACCAACCCGAAATCAATTCATTAAAAAAAGTGCACCGGGCTCAAATTTCACGTAGTTACATTTAGATTTGAAGTAGTAAATAAATTCCTAGAAACATTTGAAACTAACCCGTAAACATTAGACCCAAAACGAACACTAAATTTACGCCTGTTGGAATGCAAAATGCAGCAACTGAAGAGACCAGAACGTACGTGTGAAAGCGCGTACAGCCTTTCGGTGCCCAAAAGCCAGGCCACCCACAGCAATTACGAGGGCTGTGCTTAAGCCTAGATAGGGGAAATTGAGAAGCGTAGGTTGGGTTCAAACCACGGACATTCTGGTCAGTAAATTCACACTCTAACCACTGAACCATCTCGAAGGGCCGCTAGTGACCGGTAGCTCCCAAGTCAGTCACGGAAAACACGAGGAATGCTATTCTCCCGAATACGTTTTATAATACGAGATCCCGAGGGGTTTAAGAATTTTCACCACGTGAGCAATGCTCTTGGTATGATTCGAAGGAAGGTTTATAAATTGATGCAGTTAGTCGACGATCACTTGTCTAGAACATTCATTTGGGCAATAAGCAACCGCCGGGTAAAACATTGTGTTTTAAAAGTTTGGCTTAGCCGTCCCTCAATTCTTAAATGAGAGTGCATTCTATTGATTTTATTCATGAGGACACTTATGGCCAAAACTACTCATAACGTGACCGTGTTACGGTTCCCTATGTCGCCCCAACTTGACTTGGATAATAAAGAGTGACTCACATTCCAGTTGGAACGATTTTTAACACTACATATAGTTCCTAAAACGTCTCGCATGCACGAGTCGTTCGACCGACCAACCTGTAGTAATGTTGGTAAAGAAAGCGTACGTAGCTCTGTACTCGAGGACTGAAGATTAAAGTGTAGCACAAATTTATAAAGTATGACGAAATACTTGAAATTTTGTGAAACCACTTAGTTTCGCGAAGTTCAACGCGTTTGAGGGGAAATGTAATCCTGAAATTTGGAAGGCAGAGGGTGTTGCTCTACATTCCGAAGTTACACATATGCGAACTGCATTTTCTCCAGAACGCAACCAATCGGACTTACCGTTCCTGCTCGATCGACCGTTATAAGTCCATCTGTCACATCCCAATGATGAACGGAAACCACTTTGACTACTTGCAACTCTAATCATTGCTCTAGCGTGAACACGTCACGTGTCTTGCGAGGATTCTGTGCGGGAGCGCCAAGCGCTCAGTCCTTGACCCCAGCACACACACACAATGTGTGTTCCACTCGCCGGATCTTGTTCAATACACTGCATTTAGAACGCACTGTGTATGCTTGAGTGGGATTTCTTTCGTTCCTGTTCGTGAATCTCGATCGATAATTTTTGGAGGTTGAACCTCATCGCCTTCAGGCTGGCACGGTCATCGGAGATAAACGATATCATTTTCAGTAGATATTTGGAGATATGTTGAGTAGAAGAAGAGATAAATTCGAGAGAATAGCACTCAGTTGATCGTTGATGTATCCGCCGACTTTGGCAATTAACTTGCGGGCCTATTGCCAATAATCGTGGAGATATCTCGGGTGCACGGTTGACCGTATCGAAAGCGCGCACACAAAAATAGAGACATATATAAAGGGCATTTGTTCAAGATTTTCAATGATCTAGGTTTTACCTTCTGGTCAGGCATTCAGAAAATAATGGGCAATCCCGCCAGCATGAAGAAAAATCGATCTCATTTAAAGATGAAGTTGCCTGCCCGATGTGCATGTAGCCATTTCATCAATTTGTTTCTTAATAATAGGTCAACTCATTCTGTCGTTGTAGCGCATATTTTCAAACGTTCAACACAAACGTAAAAACAGCGCACAAATGCCGTGTTGCTTGTAGGGTTGGTGACCATGCCGACCGTATGTGTTTCCCAAATTCTGGTTAAGACTCGATTCTCCACAAAATGCACATGGTTGATGCGTTTCCTTCCGGTTTCCCGATCGCTGTGCTGAAGTACAATGTTCGAAGTTGGAAAACGCTTTCTGCAATCAGGGCTTGGATCTCCCTGTTTCTCTAATCCTTGCACCAGTCTTCTTGATGTTTTGGCAAGCACATTGCCGCCACTGGTAATCATGTTCACTGTTGAACGATTTCCGCAATGACCAAAGTGGACATCGGCATACCTAGCGCGCAGTTCGTGGTGTCGGTTGGCCGCCGACAGGTTAGGAAATCCTTCACCAGTTGTGATGTCCTGATGTATGTGTTTGCCTGGTCGGGTCGTTCACTCGATCTGCGCTGGCACAGTCGTTGTCGTTCTGTTTGCTGATTGGCTAGCGTGTCTCCTGGATTCGGGTCGTTCACTCGATCTGCGCTGGCACGGTCGTTGCCGTCCTGTTTGCTGATTGGCTAGCGTGTAAATCTCCTGGATAAATATAAGAGTTAAGAACTACTGCTCACCTGTCTCGTCGTCACTATGAACAATGACCTGTGATCACGTCGAGAGAGCTTCGACTTCGCAGCCACTTGATTAGTATGCTAAAACCCACCGCTCGACTGCGTGATGGATTGGTTCTTCACTAACTCCTTGAGTGACGTAAACTCGCCTTCAACACATGCACAACTTGTGAGTTATTCCACGTTGGGGCGGATTCGAAACTGCTACTCTGATGAGGCGTGCTGTAGGTTGTGTTAGTCTCTCATCAGATAACGCGTCACAAACAATCAACCCACGTGAAAACTCCCGTCCCACTTGCAATCTGAATCGAAATCTTGTGCACCACAGATTCTTATTCTTTTTTGTTTACGCGGCTTATATGGCTCAACAAGTCACGTCAAGTTTTATTCATGTTCGTGCAAGTATAAAACCCGAAGGGACACTCCTCTCTTCACACTGCACGAAGTAAATAGGCGTACAACTCAGCCAAACACACACACTCACGCGCACAAGACATGAAGCCAACAGAGCTCCGCAATGCTTCACGGAAAACTACAGGACACGTTTTGCAGTTACACTGCAGAGAAGACACATCACGCGTCCCAAGCTTCACTCAAGAAATCTCAACAAGTGTCCTCAAATGACAAGTCACTTTTTGGCTTATTCCACAGTTTGCATTGTATCTATTTTTATAAAGTGCACCTAACCATTGTATTAATCACATTCTAGTAAGACAGACATCTGTTAGTGCTTGTTTCCTTCTGATAATCAACTTAATTTCTTCACAACTAGAGCACTGACAAGGCCAGTTGAGGAACTCCACACGAAACTTGGGTAAATAGAGCCATATCTCTCTAAATCAACCAACACGTTTGAACCANGGGCACCTCTCTTTATTTCATTTACTCACCTGTGTGATCATCGCTCACGTGTTCGCTGTGCTCACTGCTGGTGAATGAATGCAGCTGGAACGAGGAACCAGTTTCATTAGTCGGTAGGCGGTATTTTTCCTGATTTCAGACGCATCGCATTGTTTGCCGTCGTCATGGTGTGTTTGGGTTACTTTCGTGATTTGTGGAGTTCTCGTCATCATTCGTCACTGTTGCTGTGGATTGTCCCATGCAATTTTATTGGTCTAGACCAATGTAGGAGCTATATCCACTTCTACAGGGAAACGGTTACCTCTCCATTTGAACACAAACTGTTTGACCAGAACAACCGGACTAATATGCCGGGAATGGTTTGTTGCGAAAGACAGCTGGGAGGAGGTTGGTCACTTTGCGACCATCGTCACTGTCATCTTTCGTTTAAGTTCACGGGTCACATCGCTTAGCAAGTCCAACGGAATCTACCGATGTTCCCACCTCTGCATTAAAATCACTTTTGTGGTATAAACCGTCATTCGTCCGAATTGTTTGCCAGTGGATTGGGTGCGGTTTTTAACTGGATCCAGCCGACAGATGGGTTTCACTTTCAGTTGGCCTCCATTAGTTCCAGGCGTTTCTAGCTAACATTCTGGTCAAAAAAGCAGTTGGTGTCTGATCTCCTACTTGGCAGTGAGCACGTTCCACAGCCACACACAAATGCAGCCAGGAATGAAGCGTTAGAGTTCGTGCGATATGCCACAGGTCGCGAGAATTTCGACAAAGCTCAGTGTGCGAGGGTTCTCAAGTGTGAAATCTAATTGGCGGGCGCAAAAATGTGCACAGAAAAAAATTACATCTCCAATGACAAAACGTGTTTTACGAATTCAC